TACTGCCAGTTAGTTTTAAATTCTAGTGACAGTAACCCCTGTGTGTGTTTTTGTTTTTGTTTTCTTTTTTTTCCCTCCCCCATGTTTGGTTAAAGTATTAAGTGGAATACTACTCTGTAACATATAAAGAAGTTCACTCTTCTCTTAAAAAAAAATAAACAAAAAACTTGTCTTTTTATTCACTTGGCATGTTTTAGGGTATCAACTCATCAGGATATTAAAAATGGAATGGTACATCTAATTTGGTCATTGTCAGATGACCCTGCCTTTTGAAGCCTGTGTTCTTGGAGTGACTGTCTTCACTGATTCCACAGCCTGTATGCATGAGAGTGTATTGTTTTAAATGTCTTAAAGCAGTGACTTTTTTTTGATGTATGAGTGACTGAAATGTCGCCTTATTTTCCAGCAATAATTCATCTTAATTAGTTAGTCTTAATTAATTCATACTGTAATAGAAGTGGGAGCAGAGTAACAAACTGAATGATAGGGTGAGTTGCAAGTGACAATTTCTAGTACAGTAGAAGTCTGGAGAACTACAGAGGTCCTGTTAAGTTACTAGGAGAATGCCTGGGGAAGCCTCTTGTGCGGCATGCATTGCACACTGCAAAGTGTCAAACTATTCAGCTGCCCAAGTGGCATAATGTGCACACGTGTTTCCCTTACAGGAGATTGTACTGTTGCTGTTCAGCTTTGTCTGGAAGCCCTTAAATGGACTTTGCGTTGCTGACCTGCAAAGTAGTAGCACCTGCTTATTATGCGTTTCAGATGTGCTTCTGGATTAGACTGGAAAGAGGGAGAGCCAGCTAGAGAAACCAGCGCTTTGTGGCTTCTCTTAGTGCCTGCGCTTCAGAGTTTTCCATCAAGTAGGTTGCAATTAAGCTTGGAGCCATTTATATTTTCTCTGTCATTTGGATCAGTCTGATAGTGTATTATCAAAGACAGAAGTTTCACTATAGAGAATGCTGTTATTTTTCAAATTTCCTTTGGAAAATATACTAAAAAAAAAAAAAAAAGTAGATAACTGTTAATGTGCTTATGTCATTCCTTTAAAGAAATGGAGAGAAAGATTCATCTTATTTTCCGTGAAAGACTCTGGCTGTATGTAGATGCTTATAGGTGAAGGCTGTTTTTATTGAACTTCCCAGGGATACTGGGAAGCTGCAGAAGCCTAGTCCATCTGACAGTTGGCTATGTTGTTCAGGGTAATCCTTTAGATAGGGCTCTGTTTCCCAAATAAGTAATAAATTAGTATTCTTTTGTCTTTCTCCGAAATTGCTCTCCAATTCCCAGTATTCCTTTCTATGTAAGACCATAGAGCACAAAAATGTAACATGCTTCAAGCAACACTGTTTTGATTCGTCTTAACTTTTGTGGTCAGGAGCTAAGTAAATGCTATGTTAGAGAGAACTGTGTGCTGTTTGATCTCTTTTTCTGTGAGGAAACTTCTTAGCATGGATCATCTTAATCATAGACTGAAGAATATTTTGGTTTTAGATGCACTGTCTATTTATATCACAACATTTTAGGATTCTGCCAGTTACTTGAATTGATCTCATCATTAGAGGGAGAAAGGAGAGCTGGGGGAGTAGTTTATATATGCTTACTAGATCTGTGCAAATATATACCTAGATGTGCACAGGGCAATATGTTATCCCATCTATATTCTCTTTTTTATATCTCAGCTGAAAGTTTGCAGTTTATTGTTTTCCTTTCTGTGATTAAAAATTAGAGAACAAAGGTTAAATGAATACACATTTAAATGATTTGATTACATTTCTTGTCTTTTTTCATACTTTTATCTGTTAGACTGAGTCACTAGAAGTTGAGCTTTCCTTTGACAAAAAAAAATGAAATTCAAATCGTATCTTTAATTTATGCCAAAATTAGAAATATGTCTGTTTATAGAGACAAAATATGTGCAATAATGAAAATAAGTGAACTAGGAGGTTTTCATGAGAGGATAAGGGCTACGTGTGTTTTTAAAATATTTAAATCATAAACTGCTTTTGTGAGTAGTGGAAGTTGACCACCTCCATTTCTTTTAAAATTCGAACATAAAATGAGCTTTCAGGTTATTAAGACTAACGATGGGCTTGGAATAAGATATACATTTTAAGTCACTTATGCAATTTTTTTTTCTATACAGATATAAAATCTATTTAAATACTTTTTTGCTAACCTACACCTGCCACAAAAAAAAATATTTAGATCAGACTATTTGTTGTAGTATTAAATATTTAAAAAGAAACAGCTGAATGAAATTCCATTGCTTTCTGAGGTAATAAAAGTTGTATAATTTCCCAATAGAGTACTTCTGAGGAAATAAAGCAGCTGTTGATGCTCAGAGGGTGGCTTCAGGAAAGTGACTTCTGTTTGAAAATAAGAAAATTGATGGTAAAGACTGTGGTATTTTTTAAGGTAAAAGAAAAGCTTCAGTATTTCATCGGCCACTGACACACTGGTAATCACAGGACAGAGGATAAATGTTTAGCCTCTTTGCCTGAAAGACATCATAGTTTTGATATATGCCCAGACTCTATAAAATGAGGATGTGGGCATGTGAAGACAGACTGGATTGGACAGATTCATAAAAGGCATCTGTCTGGTTACTGAATTAGTACATGGGGCTATTGCTGCTGCCTGGTCAACCATGCTGAAAAATAAGAAAATAAAACTGGAGCAGTTGAAGGGAAAACTACTGAGATGCCTAGGGAGTGAATGTTTTATCTTAACAGAGGGAACAAAAAGAATGTGGCTTGTTTAGTCTATAAAACTGAGAAAGAGAATTCTGTAAAATTCCTGCAACATGGGGAGAAGACTGTGCAATAATTCTGAATTTCATCTGCAATAATAGAAGTGGAAGAGACACACAAACTTAACAGTAGGGCTGCAGCAAAGAAGAAAGTCAGATAAATGTTTAGGGGAGGAATATACTAGCCTGATAGAAATTATATGATGGAATGGATATATTGTTTAATCTGACAGTTCTATATATGTATATATGTATATATATGCTGTGTTAAGATCACTTCAGTGAGCATCAGTCTATTTTCTGTGGCCGGTATATCTGATAAGAACTGACATGTGGAGCAATGTGCTTGACTGAACGAACAGTACATTACTGTAGCAGAAGACAAGGGTTTACCAGGGGTGAAATAATGACTGACAGAGTTCTGTATATATAGCTCAACATGAGGGTACTTGCCTTTTTCTCTTTCATAATTTTTTTTCAAATATAATATTCTATCAAACACATTTAACTATAAGCTCCGGCAAAAGTATTTGCTCAGTTTTAGGATTTGTTTGTTTTTCAGTAAAGCTTACCTGGAACAATTTGGTGTTTCGTTTTTTTTTTTTTTTTCCTTTAGTTGACTTATATTTTGTAATCAACTTATATTTTGTGGTCATCCTATGAAACTGATGTATGCCATTCTAATGTTGTTTTGAAAAGTATATCTAAAAATTCACTCTTTCATACTGTTTATTTGAAGTATTTTAATATATATGCTCTATAATGCTATGGCTTCATAGATGATTGCTCAGCAATTGGAAGCATGTTCTCCATGCTAAATCTTAAATTTGGAATTGTGAACTCAATTTTTTTTCCTTTATTGCACAGCCTAATATCGTAGGGATTTAAAGCACATGGTCGTTTCTTATCTGCTGACTGTATTTCTTTGTGCTCTTTAAGGAAATTAATGATGAAATAATTTCCCAGTAACAAAGAGCATGACAGAATGATACATAATGTAATGATGTTGATAAGTGAGCAGTATTAATCTTTTAAAAGTTATGTATCTGCTACAGACATCTCGCATGGTCCTTTGTGCATTTATCTTCTACAAGAGCAAGTTTTTTATCTTCTACAAGTTTTCTCTTTTAACAGTATTTTCTTTTATTTATTATTTTTTTCATTATCAGCTTCTGTGCATCATGATCTGAACTGAGCCGAGACCTCCCGTCTCTGTAAATGCATATTCTAGACAAGCCCTCTTTTGTAGTTTTATGTGTCTGGGAACATTATGGAAGTGTGATGTAAACAGGAGACTTGAGTATGCACAAGAAGTGCTTATCAAAATAAAAATGATTCCAAGTACGAAGACCAGTAATAAATTAAAAACTTATCAATATCTTCATAAAAACTAAAGAAATTGTATCCTAGGATTTTCTTCCCAAACTTTATTTTGCTTTCTTCTGCATGATCTACCATTTCTATCTATCACTGTGACTTAGAGAATTTACTCTTTTTTTAGAAGCCTCTCGTACTACTTCTAATTTTGGGTTTCTTATCATTGCATAACTTTTTTTTTTTAACTTGTTTGTTTTAGTGGCAAAAATCTGTTTGCTGAATCCTTTAGACTTTGAAATTAATTGAAAATTATATCTCGAAAGATGTAAGAAATTTTTTCTTTCTCTGCCTCCTGATGTCCCATTTCTAGTTGGATTACAGAACTACCTTTAGGTTTTCTCTTCGAAAACAGATATCAGCTGATACAGTTAATATAAAACTCTTAGCGTTTTATTTCTGAAAGCCAGATCATGTTCACAGAAGCTGAAATGTGAGATGGTTGTTAGTTTGTATGCTCTTGGAGTGTCTGTTTGAACCCCTCCTGTTTTCAGTAAAGACCTGGCCTCCTAGTCATCTTTGCTGCACGCACGCTAATTTTTTTCTGAGCCTCCTTCTAGAAAGCTACAAGATTCTTCTGAGAGGAAATTTAGGCATAGTTGACACTTACCCTTTGCTGCAGTATCTGGGCATAAAGCTCTGTCATATTTGACTCTTTCTACCCAAATCACATGAAGACATGCCTCACACTTAGCTTGGTGTATTCAGGGAACCTTAACACACATCTTTGTACACATACACACATGTATATAAAATAAATGCTGCATCTGTCACACAAAGACTAGATGAATTATATTGGTTTGTTTTCTAATAGAGTTCTAAAAATGACTTCATGTTTATACTATGTTCCTAACTTACTTTGCTTTCCTTTAAGGTCTTGGTATCGACAACAGAACATCTTTATCGCAGAATAGTTCTTTTACATGGGATGGTACAATTTTCAATATCTCCATGCATGCAGCAATTCGACATGGAAAATGGAAATTACTAACAGGATATCCAGGTAATAAAGTAACTTCTTTTCATCCAACATATCATATTCCAGCCCCCTCCACCCCCAGCCCAATTTTTTGTTTAATAAATGATCATTTCTCTTATATACTCTGCAGAGTTTTCAGGGTTTTGATCATGGTTAAAGTGCACGCAATGCATACAAAAACCTTGCAACATCAAATAATATAAGTGTCTTTTGCAGTTGTATAAAAACCATCAAATAGAAAATCCGTGAAATTATTTGCTGCAAAACTAAGTGAAATGAAATTCTGAATATGAAACCTGGAGCATATTGCCTTATGTTTTATCACCATTTTAAGATGATTTCCGTTCTACAAACAGGAGTCTTGTAGAGGTAGCCCTGATCTAGACAGACTTGGATGCTGGGCTAGAATTAAAGAATGCAGGAACAACCCCTAGCCAGTGGCTTGACAAACAACCTGGTGATTTCCTTGATTACAGTGCAGCTCTGCCTCTCCACATCACTGCTCTCTATCTGAGAATTAACCCTTGATCTATTCCTGTTTCTGTAGGCTGCAGTCACTGGTTCCCTCCACCATCTTTGTTCAATGAGTCAATGATTCAGTCATCTGATCCTCCAACAAAGAGACTTTGGCTTTTTGATGTTGTTCACGATCCTGAGGAGAAAAATGAGTTGTCCGAAAGATATCCTCATGTGGTGAAGAAACTGCTCTCACGACTTCAGTATTACTATAAACGTTCAGTGCCTGTGTTCTTCCCTGATGATGATCCCCACTGTGATCCAGAAGCAACTGGTGCCTGGGGTCCTTGGGAATAGTGCAGAGCATTGCTCCTTGCAGAGCTCACCTGATTGGAATTTGATTTGTAGTTTCGAGGTCCAAGTCATTTGTTTCTTATCCTGTTTTTTACAGTTTTGCTAATTGTGAGCTCATTCCTTGAGGAATTACTCAAGGTCTTTCTTACCATCATAATGTGGTGGGAATCTTTTTTCAGTCCTCCGCACTCTCTCCTTCTCAACAATCATACATGAAATGCTTATAAATTAGAAATCTGTTATTTGAATATTCCTTGTCAACAAAGGTGCCTTTAAAGCAGAATGTTGCTTCCCTCCCTGAAAGAAATTACTTCTGTTAAAAAACTGCTATGAGTCATGGCAACAGGATCATTCAGACGTTGGCTGTGGAAGAGACTGATGTTTTATTTCATGCAGGCCCAGATGACAAATTCTATCAGAAACTCTAATGTATCTGTAAAGAATAGAAGAAATACAGCTATTGGCATGACTTTTTACCTTGGAGGTGCACTTTTGTTCAGAGAAGAGGTCAGAAATCTCCAATAATAAAAATAAATAAACAAAAGATCTTCCACTATGCGGCAACATCCCTTATTCCTGTTCACTGCTAACATATGAAATTGGGGTAGACAGAAGTGATCGACTCGAGGACAGGGCTACCATGTAGAGGTACATTAACACACTGGAGAAATAGTGAACAAAAATTTTCTGAAGTTCAGAGCACAGAGCCCTGCCCTTGGGATGGAGAGAGAACATCGACGTGGGGAAGAACCTGGGGTCCTTTTGCACAATGCATTGAACAAGAAAGACCTCATTTCCTAGTAGTGAAGAAGACCAAGGATGTATTGGTCCATATGAGCAAGAATGTAGCCGGCACATTGAGAAAAGTGGTTATTCCCCTCTCTTCACCACTGGAGCACTGCATCGCAGTTTAGGCTTCCTCAGACAAGAAAAAGCATTTCTATAATGTAGTGTAGTCACAGAAATGAGCACATGACACATGAGGAGAGGCTAAAGAACTGATTTAGTTTAGCCTGGAGAAGAAAAAACAAAAGGGAAAATGCTGTCTTCAGTGAGGGACAATGTAGAGAAGATGAGTCCAGACTCAGAGGTGCACAAAGGAAGACAAGAGGCAGCAGACACAAGTTGTAACACAGGGAGTTATAATCTGATATAAGAAAAAAATATCTCGCCATAAGGGTTGTCAATACTGGGACGGGCAGTCCAGGGCAATTGTGGTGTCTCTATCCTCTGAAATGTTCTGGATAACGCAATCTTAACTCTGAAGTTAGCTCTAAGTTGCAGAGTGGCCCTCTTTAGTAATGGTTGGGGCAACAACCAGATGACCTCCAAAAGGTCACCTCCAAAGAGCCCTTTCAGCCTACCTTATTCATGGATTCTGTGATGAGCAAAGCCTTACTCTCTCTTAATGCCTGCCTTTCTAATGAGTATCCTTTCTGTAGATTTTATTATTATTATTATTATTACAGTAGCAACTGTTTTCATCTTGAAGTGGGCTCTGAGCCAGGGGGAAACTAGGTCAAATGACTCAGTTACTCACCAAATTGATGCGAGAAGCTCACCAGCTTCACCCACCAGCTCTCTTCATGCTGTAAGCCTCTGGCGCCTGGCCAGAATTCCAGGACTGCTTTTTGGTGTCCTTAGCCAAGTTCTCAGGCTGCAGAGCTCTAGCTGCCATCCTCCAGAAAGTAGGAACCTAACTGCGTGTTTTCAGAATCCGGGACTGAGTCCTATAACTGGCACTGACATTTTGCACACCCAGTTCAGTAGACATCTGCTACTTGTTAGCAAACAGACCCATAAAGAGACAGCCACCTTGATTAAAAAAAAAAAAAATTAACTACAAAAATAAAGCACAGGAAAGACGGAAATTCAGGAAACCAAAAACATGTATTAAAATAATCAGAAATTCATGTCTTCTGCTATAGCTTGTTTAAGCCTACCTTGCCTTTCCCACCTTTGATATGTTCCTCTGTATACTAGAAGGGGAGGCAAAGTTCTCCAAAAGCATGTTCAACTGTTTATCTTTTTCCCTGAGTCTCATGTTTTTCCCCTCCCCTCTGTCACTTCCGTCTCTTTATCCCAGTATTTTTTCATTCTGTTTATTTTGTGGTCTTCAGTATTGAAGGTGGGTAAAAAAGAAAGATGGACTGGGAGAGAATAATTTTCCTATGCTGGGCAAGCATATGGTTTAGGCTGACATGACTTGGAAGCCTGTGTCAGACCAAGGCTCAATCTATCTCTGTCAGTGATTGAAAACACATGTCTGCACAGCAGTAAAGGGCAAACACGTGTGTTAAATTCTCCAGATTGCCTTTCATATTTTAGCTGTGGTTCAGAGAAGAACTGAACCTCAGATATTTAAATTTTGTGTATTTAGTAGCTCTCAGTGTAAACTCTAGTATTCACACGGTCTTCTTCTATAGTTGGGAGTTCCACAGGCTGACTATGCACCACATGTAGTCATCTCTGTTCGTGCTCTGCTTCTGGGCAGTTTGACTTTTCACTGGTAAAATACCTATGGTGCAACAGAAGTTCCTACTATACCATGTTTAGTGACTTTCGTATTAACTTTATATAACTTTCATATCCATACATATTTATAATAAAAATTTAATAAAAATAATGAAATATAATTAATATAATTAATATAATAAAATATAATAAATATAATGAAATATAATTAATATAATAAAAATATAATAAAGCTAATAGTAAATATGTCTTTATAATAAAAATTGGAATTTGTATGTTCTGTCTGCAAATTGATACATACTTCTTTCAATTTCAAAAACTGTTACCAACTTTTCTTTCTATTTTGGCTTCACAGCACAGCATTTCACTCTCAAGATCCAAGAGATTCTCTGAGATAACTTTCTGAGACAATCTCTCTTATCTGCTAACCACAGGTAGGGATCAAAAATATAAGCAACAGAACCTTTTTATTAGCTATGGCATTGCCTTGACAAATCTCCCATCTTTCTTCAGTAGCTCTAGAAAACCTTTATTGTATTTCCCTTTTCTAACCAATACAGTATATCTATTTTATACCAACACACCTATGCTAGTTTATAGCTTTTACCTTTTAATTCTGCAGCTGTAATCCTCACATTCTGGTTTTTCATTACTTGTAAGTAATCAGATATAGATTGGAATACATGGATTTGAAAGAACAAGGTATCAGTATATCTCATGAATTTACTTTCTTTTTTTTTCTTAATTAGCTAGACTTTCAAATGCCTTTTTGAAAGGCATAAGGGAAACATAAGGGAAAACTTACATAAGGGAAACTAGGTCCAATAATTTACATTAGTATTACTCTTGAGAGGACTGAGATTTTTGGGGGTGTGAATATTTATTTAGTACTCTGTCTACACTAGTAGATATGAAAGACTTAAAAGATAACTGCTCTCAGTTGATACCGCGATATGGCAGTTTATAAAAGCTATTACACGATGTGGTTGCCACAATACCAAAAGAACAGACTTAAGAATGAGGGGCAGAGATGGGCCCCAAGTCTCTCTGTATCATGCAGTGTTCTCTATTCACATTACAGGAGGAAGGATGTTGGCTTACACACAAAAGTGATAATTTTTGTCAGTAATATTTACAGATACTGGTTTTTGTAAGCTATTGCTTAATTTCATGGACTAAAATGTATATATATACATACAAAAAAAGCTCTTTTGAAAAACCCAGGTAATTCATATTCTTAAGTTCTCCCCTCAATATCAACTTCTTGGCAAAATTTAGAAATGATCAGAGAATTTCTAATTTTAATTTCAAAAGTAATTAGAGTTGTCACATATCCTTTTTAAAATTTTCTCTCTGTCCTGCAATCTGTATTTTATTATCTAACTGATACAAGTCCCTCTACTAGCAAGAGACCATGGTATGTCACTATTTCCTGTGGTTTAGAATTCATCTTCTATTTCCCCTTTTTCCTAACAAAGAGAGGTTCTGTTTTAAAAATCATTATTTTCTCAGCTACAGAGTATATAAGAGCATATAATTATTTCTTTTAATTTCTTATTGTTTTCCCTGGGTGGTCCTCCATAAAATATTTTAATTGAAATGCGTTAGGGAAAAAAAAAAAAAAACAGAGACTTGTATATCATTCAGTCGTTTCAGATTGGGAAGTACAGAATTCTTTATACATTTTGTGGTTACATGAATAACATTCAAAAATGCAAGCATTTTGAACTCTTTAAATAAGACTTCATTTCATCCCTTTCCAAGCTTTAAGATTCAATCTTAATCTAGCAAAGTTTTGCGTATTTCAGATTTGAAAGTCTTTATTTTTGTGTTGTAAAAATAACTTAAGCTTTAGAAAAGTAAAGAAACCAGGTTTAGGAGGAATGCTTATGCGGGTTATACAGTCTCTTTTACAGTTTACTGATAGATGTACACAAGCAAAGAAAGAATTCTTTTATAAGCAAAGCACAAGATCTGAACCTGTTCTTAATCCAAGGCTCTATATATGTCCTGTAAGTTCCCTAGAATTGATAAATGAGTCTTGCATGAAAACCTAAGTTTAGTTATTTAATTATTTGCAAAATATCTAAACATAAGAACCAGATTTTAGGCCCTTTCAGGCTGTGTAGACATGAAGATGCACTAACCATCCTTGTTGGTTTCTTGGAATTTGCCTCTTATCTCACTCCTTGTGGCAAAATAGCAATGATGCTTCTTGGGAAAATTCCAAAGCTCTTCCATGTTTTCTTAAAGAAGCAATAGAGGAGCTTTAATTCACGCAATTAATCCTATTGGGGTGACCTTGCTACTATCTGAAAGAGTAAAAATGACAGGACTACTGATACCCACTGTGTGTGCTGGAACCTGGCACACCAAGATCTGCAGTTGTTGTGTGAAAATCAGGTTTGTACTAATAGGGTCTGGGAAATCTAAAAGAGGATTAGGCAGGTGACTAGGGAACCAAGGCCACACTGCTCAGCTCAGGTATAGGGATTGGGATGGGGATAGGAGTGCAGGGGGTGTCCCAGGTGAAGCTGGTCAGGGCAGTTAAGGCCCATTATCAGAGTCAGGTTTGCTACAGACAGGGGCTGAGCCTGGAGCGTTCTTCCCG